GCCAAAATCGGATATGGTTACGGATATATAAACGGATATGCATGCGGATACAAAAAGAATATTAGAAAACTAGATAGTATTCAGAAAAATATAGTCATGTGATACAAAAGAGTTCGTTAATATGTTCATTATGATTGAAAAGCTAAGATTAGACATCTTGATCATCAAAATTAATCACAAATCCATAATCTAAGACTCAAAACTATCGTAAGAGTATGACCAATATGTATTCGGATATTTTCGGATACGGATACAGATATTTCACTACAAAACCATATCCGTAACCATATCCTATCAGTTATAGATTTGAGTAACCATATTCGTATCCTAACGGATACGGTTACGGGTATTTCCTCGGATACGGATACGGTTTGGCACCCCTACTAACAGACGATCATTTGATGCACGTTTGAGATTTCAAACGTTCACCCAAGATTCTAATTTTACATTGCATATATTAAGTTGACTAAACTAAACCTGAAGTGTCCTCAACACTCTCGATGACCGGCGGTAGTGAGCATTGGATAGACGCAGACACACAAAGCCTCCTTTACCCTGTTAATTTTCACATCAAAACGTGTCTTTTCTTCTGAAGTACAAGGAATTTTTTTGTTAGTTGCTAGGGAATTTAATATAAGGATGTGTTTAATTAGAGGTTTTCGAAACAATGTCACACTTAAACACGTACCACCTTATTTTCAGTTTTTTCAACAACCTCCAATCAAATCATAAGTTGAAATGTTTAATGTAGTGGAACTTCTTAGTGAAAGAAAGAATTCACTATTATCAGAAAGCTTTATATAGTAGACTGGGTTGAAGCCATTTTAATTTCGGAAAACCCCTTCAAGTAGCATATTTTAGATAGCCACGTTCAATTTTGACATTTTGAGAAAATCTCCTAACTTTTCTCACTTAATCCCCCTCAACCATGGGGTGTCAAAAAAAAACCCATCAACTACGATGAGAATACCCCCACCCCCCCCCCCCCCCGAGTTTGAGCATGTTATACATAACTCCCCTCTATTTTGAAAATTTGAGAAATCTCCCTGAACTTTTCTCACTTAATCCACTGGCATACACCATTAAATCTAACTTGTCTCATTACAAGTAGGTGATCAAAAATAGACTAAGATATCTCTCAATCATAAAAAATTTACCTTGAATTTTTGCAAGATGAGGGCGAGGAGGGGGGGGGGGGTTAATTGTAAATTGGTTGGAACGAGGTTGTTAGAGAGTTTTTTCTTCCTGTTAGGGTTTTCTTTGTAACTGAAATAGATTAATTTCTAGGATTTCTATAATTTTATTTTTGAAATAACATTGGCACTTTGGTGATTAAAATGTGAAAGATTGGAGGGTTTGGTGATGCACCCCATGGTTGAGGGTTTTTTTTTAAATTTTGAATGTTGAGGGGGTTATCATAACCCAACTAAAAAGAGTTTCAATGTTGAGGAGGTTATCTATAATTTAACCATGAAATATCCAAACGTTCTAGGTACTGAAGTGCAAATAAACCAGGCCCCATAAGGGCAACTCCAACAAGCTACCACCCCCACATCCTAAGGCTGAGGTGGCGGTGGGAGCTTATTGGAGGTGCTTCAACAAGCTCATAGGCGACCTCCTTAGGCTGATGTGGCCAACGGGTAGGAAATGGGGCCCAGTGGAGCTCCCAAATGCTCCACAAATTTGTGGAGCGCTTGGGAGCTCCTAGGGAATAAAAAAAAATTTGGTACACAAAAACCCTATCCATCCAGCAACTACACTATGTTGTTCTTTTAGCCAAAAAAAGTTTGGAAATAGCCATTAAGAAATAGCCGTTGAGATTAAAAAAATAAAAATGAACAGTAAAAAATTTTCTATAAATTCTCAATTCACTACACAAATCATTCCACACAACTCTCTTATCACAAAAACTCTTTATTTTCCTATCAAATTACAAATCTCATGGATCCCTCCCAAAACTTCTACTCGCAACTCCTCATCGGTGAAAGATCGGCCTTATACCTGTCGTTCTACACAGACGTCGTAGAAGAAAGTCACCCCATCCATGAATTCTCGCAATCGATAACACAACAAGTGTCATCCCAAGAAACACCGACCACAAAGAAGAAAAAAGGCTTACACGCGGTCTAAAAATTGGACTGTCCACGAGGATAAACTTCTAGTGTCTGCTTGGCTGAACACGATCCATGACGCCATCCAAGGTACGGGGCAACACAAAGATAAGTTTTGGCAAAGAGCTAATGACTACTTTATCAAATACGCCCCTGATCCAACGAGCCACACACCAAACCAAATGATGCATCGTTGGTCAACAATTCATATGTTGGTCAACAAGTTATGCGGGTGTGTTGCTCAAATTGAAGGAAGACAAAGATCTGGTATGAGAATTATTGACCAGGTAAATATTTAACTTACATGCTTTTATGTAAACACCATAACATCATATGTTTAATTATTGAAAATTTAACTCCTGTGTAGACTGCAGAAGTAAAAGAATTATATCAAACTCTTTATGGTAAGTCATTCGTGTTTGACCATTGCTGGATTGAGTTGCGTCATCATCAAAAGTGGATCCAACAGATTAAAACTTATAATAAAATTCGATCACAGCTGAGAAGAACAACAAACTCTAATTCCTCACCAAACAATTCCTCTCCAGCAACCCCCATCGAGTTGAACACTGACTCGGATGATGTAATATCAAGGCCTGAAGGGAGGAAAGCAACAAAGCTTAAGAGGAAACAAAATGTGGAAAGCTCTGGGTCCGCTAAGTCCATCATTGGAGAGGCTTTCGCGTGGATGAAGCAAACCACCAATCAAAAAACGGAGCTAAAACAGAAGAAACAAGATGACAATATCATGAAGATGGATATCTCAACACTCAATTCAGTTCAACGATAATACTTTAAAATGCGTCAGGTAAAGATATTGGAGAGTTGGACGTCTAAGGGTTCTTCCTAATTATCATATATTATCTTGTATTAGATTTATGATTGTACTAGCAGTTGAAAATTTTGGCATTGAATGAATACAACTACTTAATTGAAAATGAAATTGGCGTAGTACAACAACTCGAACAAGTTCGCTAAAATTACATTAGACATAAAGAAACTTTATCCTCAGCTATTGATCCCTTGAGCTCCCACAGATGCTCGATCAAATCATTCTTTAGTGATTCGTGTGTTTGCGTGTTCCTGATCCCATGATCATTTTGGATGAACTCAGTTATCGACACATGAGAAGGTTCCACGACTGGTATCGAATCAACAAAATTGAAGTTGTTATCAAATTGACAATCTCGTTCATCTTTAATGATCATGTTATGCATTATGATGCAAGCTGTCATGATGTCTTTCAGCATACTATATTGTCAGAAATGTGCTGGTCCACGAATAATCGCAAATCGAGCTTGTAACACGCAAAAAGCTCGCTCGACATCTTTTCTTAGCCTCTCTTGTTGTTGAGCAAAGTACTTATTCTTTTTTCCTTAAGGTGGAATAGTCTTCACTAATGTGGGCCACTCTGGGTAAATCTCGTCGGCAGTATCCCATATTGTACTCATGGCCATTGACAGTATAGTTGCATGGTGAAGCTCTTCCCTCCGCAAGCTGTGCGAAAACCGATGAACGATATAGAACATTGATGTCATTGTGAGACCCCGATAGTCCAAAGAAGGTATGCTATATCCAAAGATCTTTGCTAGCTACTGCCTCTAAAATAATTATAGGTTCATGAAAATGCCCAGTATACATACCATGCCAGACGGTTGGATAGCTCTTCCATGTCTAGTGCATGCAGGCGATGCTCCCAAGCATACCAGGAAAACCTCGTTGTAAACCTTCCTCAAGCAGGCACGCAACGTCTTCATTGGACGGTGAATGAAGGTATTCCTCCCCAAAGATGTCGATAATCGATCGAACGAACCTCTTCAGGTTCTCAATTGACGTACTTTCATCGATCCGAACGTAGTCGTGAACGGAGTCAGCAGATGCTCCATATGCGAGCATCCGCATAGCTTCAGTAATCTTTTGAAGGCTAGATAGTCCCAACTGTCCAACAACATTCCTCTTTTGGACGAAGTACTTGTCATGTTCAACGACTGCGTTGTGGATTCGAAGGAATAACGAACGCGTCATTCTGAATCTTCAACGAAAATAATGAAGATGATAGGTTGGTGTGTCTGTAAAATAATCTTGGAACAACCGATTGTGGCCTTGCAGTCGGTTTTGATGGAGCACGATACGTCTTTTGTGTTGACGTGAAGTTCCAACTTTCTCTTGTTCTTCTTCCTCGACAAGAGAAGCTCCCATAAGAAAGAACATCTTTATCATTTCATCATCACTTGAGCTAGATGAGCTGGATATTTTGTTGTGGGAGATGATGGGTTGAGGTGAGAAGGCGTCGAATTTTATAGGAATCAGTCGGTTGACGGTCAAAGTGCGCGATACTTCGAACTTCGTGCCCAACGGATAGGAATCCGTCAGTTATCAGTGAAAGTGCATGCTCCATCGAAAACTATGTCCAATGGATATGAATCTGTCGGTTGTCAGTGGAAATATAGTCAACCTCGAAGACCGCGGGTTACCTCGACGACCGTGCCCATTTGATAGGATTATATTAGTTGTCATTGAAAGTGTGCGCTTTCTCGAAGGCTGTGTCCAACAATTAGAAATTAAATAAAAAAGGTTTAAATATAATTGAAAGTAATGGGTAACAAAAATAAAATAGAAGAGGGGTTTCTTTGATATTGTTGGAGCTCCTAAGTAGGAACTTGTTGGAGATCAACATTAGTTAGGAGGTTTCTCATATAACGTGACATTGAAAATAGTGGGTCATAATTTTTAATATGTCTTGAAAACTATCCAACAAAACCCTCCAACAAGGACTCCCAACTCACCCAACTAGGAGGTTGTTGGAAATGCTCTAATAAGAACCAACGGCCTTGATCTTACCAACTGCAAAAACCCTAACCTCCCAAACCCCTATAAAGGCCCCATCGCCACATTTCGCCTCCCTCAACTATCAAAACCCTAGCACCCAAATCCTCTGTCCCTCCCTTCTTCAAACCCTAGATCTCATCATCTTCAGCCATGGCCGAAACTCTAAACCTCAAGGGAGTAATGAAGGGCCACACCGACATGGTGACGGCCATCGCTACCCCAATCGACAACACTGACATGATCGTCACGTCCTCGCGTGACAAGTCCGTGCTCGTCTGGACCCTCACCAAGGACGCACCAAGGACGCCGCCGCCGGCTCTGTAGATCCCGCCACCGCCATCTACGGCGTCCCCCGCCGTCGCCTCACTGGCCACTCTCACTTTGTTCAGGATGTTGTCCTGTCCTCTGACGGTCAGTTTGCGCTCTCGGGATCCTGGGATGGTGAGCTTAGGCTTTGGGATTTGAACACTGGGGCTACTACTAGGAGGTTTGTTGGACATACTAAGGATGTGCTCTCAGTTGCGTTTTCGGTTGATAATCGACAGATTGTGTCGGCTTCTAGGGATCGAACCATCAAGTTGTGGAACACTCTAGGTATTCTTTGGTTTTATTGATTATCAATTCATATCGGGTACATGTATTAGTCATAATCCTAAGTAACTTCTGGTCTTTCTTTATACAATTTCTCCCAACTGCAAAATGATGGACGCTAAAAAATTGCAAATATTTGGGGTTATTTGAAAATAATTGATTATTAATTCATTTGGGTGCATGTAATAGTGGAAAAGAATATGTTTCTGTTCGAATCTCACATTTTTAGTACAAGTTTTAGGTCACAAGTGATAAATTGTTGATGTGATTTTGGTTTGCCAATTGAAATCTTTTATTCTTAGAGAGCACTATTGTGGTTCCAAAATTAGTAAATAAAGATGAAAACGGCTGTTCTAAAGATGCTTAGGGGACTATATGATTGATGCTGCCTTCAATATGTGATTATCCAAAGGCTCTAAATTAATCACGAATCTTGTTATAGATTAAGTGAACTCAGGTTATAGGAGATTTGTATGAAAGTTATGATATTGGGTATGTTCAGTCTCGAAGTGTTTGTTGGGTAAAAATTTGGGAAGTAGTTTTATACTATTTATGCCACCCTATGTTCAATGCTTGAGCATTTTAAGTTGTTAGTTTTAGAGTTTTGATACTTTTGTCAAATGAATCCCAATGTGGTAATTTTATAATTATTGTTTATTTGTTTTAGCTGGTTCTTGTTCTAGTTACCAGCTTGCATGATGACATTTGATGCCGATTTAGGTTTAATAAACGTTGTATGATTATAATTATATGCGAATTTTCTGAATATATTTGGAGGCAGACATATCTCAAGAGCACATTTCATTTTTTTGAATTTGTAGAAATGTGCATATTCATGCAAATCCAACTGGAATGAGGCATTATTTAATTTTATTTAAAAATACTCTTATCAGTACAGAGCAATGTTAACATCTTATATTGATTAAGATGTTAGCTGACTTCTATTGGAGTATTTTTGTGTATATCAGTTCTCGAATCTAGTTGAACTTTTCATAAACCAATTTATCATGTTCATGGTTATATGATATCTGTAATAATGTGACTTCTCTCTCCAACATGATGCCTAAAGTTTTACTTCAAAAATGCCAACTTCAGTGAAATTTTAAAATCTTGGCTGAGTTGCCCATTGTATTTTTCTTATAGCTCCATACTTAACCATCCAGGTGAGTGCAAGTACACTATCCAAGATGCTGATGGTCACTCCAACTGGGTTAGCTGTGTCCGCTTCAGCCCAAATATTCTTCAGCCTACAATTGTGTCTGGATCTTGGGATCGTATGGTTAAGGTTTGGAACCTTACCAACTGTAAAATCAGATGCACTCTTAGTGGACATGGAGGATATGTTAACACTGTGGCAGTGAGTCCTGATGGCTCACTCTGTGCAAGCGGAGGGAGAGATGGTATCACACTGCTGTGGGATTTGGCGGAGGGCAAGAGGTTATACTCACTTGATGCTGGGGCCATCATTCATGCATTGTGCTTCAGCCCGAATAGGTACTGGCTCTGTGCTGCTACCCAGGACAGTGTGAAGATATGGGATCTTGAGAGTAAGTCTATTGTTCAGGATCTGAAGCCCACCGATGCTCAGCCCGCTCCTTCCGCTAAAAAAGAGGTATTTGCTCTTTAGTAGTGGCCAAATTTTCTTTTTTGTTACGTTATTTGCTCTTTAATATTTAATTTTTTTCATTTTGTTCTGTTTATTTCGATGATAGTGTGGTTTTAATGCCTTTCAGTAATGTTATGTAGTTCTAATGGCATACCATGTGATTTCTTCTTTAGCATTCATAGTTAATCAGTCTTATTAATGATGCTTCTTGTGTTCTACTATTGCTTGCTAGTCTTTCAAAATGCAAGGTGTTGACTATTATTCAGTCTTTTCTTTTTTGCATTGTACACTTTTTATTCATTTATATGTTTTGCGAACAAAATATCTGAAGCACTTCTAATGATAAATCAAGTAGTACGTTATTTTTGTTTCTTACCTGTATTACTAAATGGCATGTGGAAGCACTATGAAAAGATATTTCGACAAGTTAGTATGCTTTGATTTCTGGAAAATCATCACTCAGATTAAGATCAGTCACTGGCATTGTTAGATTGGTATTTTAATTAGACTCCTTTTACCACTGGGGCATCTTAATTTAGACCTTTTATTCTTACTGATATCATTTGACGGTTGGACGTAAAGTAGATGTTTAACTCATTCATTAATTTTCTATGTTTTCCTTGGTCTATAAACAAAATGCTTGAAGCATTCTAAAGATTAAATCGAGTGGCATGTCATGATTCTGTGCCATACCTGTATCTCTAAATGGTACATCCAAGTTTTGCAAAGTGCTTAGGATGTTCAACAATTTAACATGCATTCTATTTATAGAAACTATCACTTAATTAAACAGACTGATGTCCATTGATGGTGGGATGTCAAAGCTGTGTCAACTCATTTATTCATTTCTGATTTTACCTGGTATCTTTTGCAGAAGATACTGTACTGCACCAGCCTGAGCTGGAGTTCTGATGGAAGCACGCTCTTCACTGGTTACACTGATGGATCAATCAGAGTCTGGGAGATCAGCCGTTACTAGAGAGACCAGTAATCATAGCAAAGAAAATTGTTGGTTGTGATGGATCACTATTTTGCAAATGAACTTGCGGTCTTTTGTTTGATTTTTTTGTCATGTTTTCTTTTTGACTTAAATGGAAGAGGTCTTTTTGTTATGAATCTCTCTTGTTTCTAAAACTTTCTTATGACCATAAACTTCTGCATCACTGGCTTTCTTATTTATCTTTGTTTTCCGTTTGTCTGCTGTTTTGATAAAGTTAAATTTCTTGTATAGGATAATGATAGTACTTCTGCTTGTTCTATTATGTGTAGCAATGTTATTAGCCAATGCTAATCCTTAAGAGATAGCTGTCCTCAAGGCTATCTTCTACATTTTTAATTATATCAGTGGTTTGAGCATCAACTATGCTAAAACGTCTTTGATTTATTTTTGGTAGAATTAGAGACAGAGGCATCAGGTTGGCTTCCGCTCTCAAGTGTAAACATGAATCCTTACCTCTTAACTTATCTAAGCTTACATTTGAAATGTGGGAAACTTAATATATTTGATTGGCAACCTCAAATAGAGAAGATAAAAATAAAATTATCTCAATGAAAGGGGAAAAAATCTCTCTATTGGTGGTCGTCTCACTTTGATTAATGTTGTGCTCTCCTCTTTGCCTCTGTATTAACATGTCATGCTACTTGATTGGCTCGTTACTTAGGGGGGGTTAGTCACCTAGAACTTAAAATTAGAACTGGGATAATCTGTGGGATAAATTTTTAAGGTGTTAGTCACATAGAACTAAAACTAGAATAAAATTGTACAGTGTTAGTCAAGTAGAACTTTAACAAAACTAGAATTGGGATAATGGTACAAAATTATCCCACTTTTTTATTTTCTATACAAAAAGAGAGTTCTAGTCTCTCAAATTATTCCAAGTTTTAGCTTGAAACTAGGTGGTAAAAAACTAGAACTCATATTTATTTTGTTATTTTTTATTTTTATATTTATTTTTTTCTTTACTTCTTTCCTACTATGGTCATCACCATCATTAGACCGTTATTATAATAATAATTGTCAATATCTTATAGTCTAACTAAAAGTTATTTAATTAATAGTAATGAACATTCTTGTAAGCAATTATCAATTAATAATAGTAAGTTTAAAGCACATAAATAGTATTTATATATTCAAAATGCATAAATATATATTTTATGATTATAAAAATTTATCCCACGTTATTTTATCAAAATATCCCGTTTCACAAAATTGTTCCTATTTATCCCACTAAAATATCCCACTAGCAAAAATTATTCAACTAAAATAATTATCCCATTTTGTATGAAAATGTCCCAATTGACTAACACCCCCTTAAGGAAGTTGATAGAGTTAGATTTCTTTTTTTTTTGGTGTGGGGGGGTGGGGGGGGGGGGGTTGATTAATTGGAAAGTGGTGTGCATGCCAAAAAAGTTGGAAATTGGTATGCATGCCCAAAAAAGAGGGCGGACTCGGTGTTACTGATCTTAAATGCCTAAATAAAACTCTCTTATTTAAATGGCTATTATGGCATGTCCTTAGGAGATTTTTTTTTTGTTTGCTCTACCCCATCATCTTTGTATAAGCGCAGATCTAGCACTATTCAAACCTCCTTTTACAATCCAGACAGTTTTATCTTCTAGAAAAATATCACTCTGATTAGAGAACCATAATCAACTATATAAGATGGAAGTTGGGTAATGGTTCTCTAATCAGGTTTTGGGAGGACAAATGGGCTGGAGACAATACCCTGAACACTCTTCCCCCATGCTTTCTCTTTGGCATTGATTCATAATGTTATTGTTCTTAACCAAGGCTCCTTCCGTAATGGTTCCTAAGTATGACACCCTACTCTTAGAAGACCAATCCATGGGCACTATAGGACCTCTGACGCTCCCACATGGACACTATCTAACACAGGTGAGTTTTTTGTTAACTCTCTCTATAATCTCACTACTAGTAGAGGTGTGTCCTCCCCCATCTCAATGCAAATCTAGAAATCCATATTCCATCTCAAGGTCAAAAATTATTATTCTGGCTACTACCTCTCAATAAACTAAACGTCAAGGTTCACTTAGGTAGAAAAGGGTGGCAGGGTGATCAAACGTGTTCTCTCTACCTCAATGAATTAGAAGATTCTAATCACCATTTAGTTACTTGTCAGTTCACTGCTAATGTTTGGAACTTCTTCAAGGCTCACTTTGGCCATAATAGATGACCAACTAACTTACATGATCTCATTCACTCCAAATGAGAGTTCCTTAAATCTCCTAAACAGAAAATTATTTGGCAAGCATGCACGGAATAACAGGATCTTTCAATATGTTTCACCTACTGTAGAAAGTGTTATTAACTCTTCAGTTCACTTCCTTAATAAATGGACAGGCTCATCATCAGGAAAAGTGGGAAGGACTCTCAAGCTAGGAATGGAAGGGCAAGAACTTCCATCAATTCTAGTCATGAGAGCCAATAGAGAAGGAACGAGACTCAGACGGTACAAGAAGAAGAAGAAGAGGATATGAGACGGTTACAAGCAGAAGAAGAGGAAATGAGAGGTCAAATATAACTTATCAAGCCAAATTTTCTGTTTTTGTAATTAGTTATAACTACCTTTTGGAGCTGCATGACGCAGATTTGCACATGTATACTCTGTTTTTATGTCTTTTAGGGTGAAAACTTTCATTTTTCCCTCCTCCTTTGGTCGTGTGACCGACTTTGATCCATAAGCTTATCACTGTTCTGGTGAATGACAGCTAGGGTCCTCTCGTCATCGTCACTAATATTTTATAGAGAAGGTCTTACGTACCAATTAGGGAGAAAGTCATGCTTCTATCTATACTTTTGTAGGACACCACCTCGTATCCATCCTTTATGCACATTAGTGAAATGAATGGGGACATTCCCTTGTTTTTCTGCTCAAAAAAATGTTATTAGCCGGCTGGATCTTACTGTATTTATTTATTTTCAATATAATATAATGCTTTTGCCATATTTCTTGCTTTACTAAAATAGCAGATGCTATATTGAAAACCGTAGAGATCTTTACTTCAAGTTATAAGCTCAGATTCAGCTTCACCAGGTTATTGAGAAATTAATTTGGCTCCATTTCTTTTCCATTTCTGAATATATGAATGTGGAGTCCCTAACCTCCGGCAAACACCAAGCCTGACATAAAATGATATATAAGCCTAACAAGTGAATTGGTATCGAAACACACAGGGAATTGCATTCTTAAAGAGTCATCTTGCGTGATAAGCCTGGAAAGCATGTCTACATATTTTAAAGAGATGATGCCCAAAAGACCGTCTATTTTTCCATATTTCATTTGAAGAACCTTATTAACTCAATGTTGTGAATTGGACAAAACTATTTAAAAGGATCTTAAGTCTTGAATCATTAAATTTAAAACTTGTTGGCTTCCTAATTAAAATTCGGATTGGTTTTATTGCCACATGGATTTAAATAAAACTTTGTGCAGTTTTGCTAATGATGCATTATTAGCTTGTATTATCTGGACCTTTTCTGTAGTTGGACAGATTTCAAATTATTTTGTAACGACCGCTGTTTTCTCTTTTCCTTGTTTGATTTTCTTTGTATCGTTTCATCACTAGAAGAACTTCTATGAAAAGTGCTTTGAAATCTGAGTTACTATTTTATTTGTACATTTTCTTGAGTGAAGGTTGATCTATTGTCGCAGATTCGTTTTTGAAAACGGCAATTATTTTTTTGATGCACTTGATTTTTCAAAATCTTTTGGGTTTTATGAGAATGTTTTCTTGCAGGTTTTAGAACAAGCTCATGCTTATTAGACTTAGGATGTGTTTGGTTTGAATGAAAATGAAGGAAAAGAAAAGAAAATTTAGAAAGAAACATGTTTTACTTGTTCGGTTAGCAAGAAAGATTAGATGAAAAAGAAAAGGAGAATCAAACAGGGAAAAACAAAAAAGATTTTCACTTCAAAAAAACGAGTCAAAAAATGTGGGGTCAGTGCTCCATCACCGCTTGGGAACTTCATCTATTCACTTCAGCGATGAAGGGTTTACTTGGATCTTTTTTTTTGGAAAACCACGTGATAGCTATAGTATTACGGAAATTAATCGTCCAGCTAGACCTGATAACTACAGGAACACCAAGTCAAAACAGAACGAGATGAAGGGAATTGCATTGAGGCTGACAGCTAGGTTTTTTAAACGTCAAATTAACCTTCTCTTTGCACAATAAACATAAATAAAAATGTAAAAGCTACAGTATCCTGATAGCTACAGTAACAACCAAGTGAAAACAGACCCAAAGAGCTGGTTCTAATCACATATCCGCCCCACTAGGAATAACTAAAATCGAATAGAAGGGGTCTCATTTGGTTTAATGTGGGCCCCACGAGTGATGTGTGTACTCTGATAGGGAAAAATAATAATAATTATTACAACTAATCTTGAGAGCTCTCTATATAAAATAATAGGCTAATTGCACTTATATAACATAAGGTTTTCCTACGTTGCACTTATATATGCATATTTGATTTTGGCAACATTTGCATACCCTAAGATTTTTAAAATTTTGCACTTACATACTCTCGCTTGTTTTGGCAGCACTTGTATACCCTTATAGTTTTTAAAACTTGCACATGAATACCATAGAATTTTTAAAGTTTGTACTTAAATATCCTCATATTATGTAAACTTAAGTGTGATTTTTTAAAACTTTAGGATATTTACATGCTATTTTGAAAACTTTAAGGTATTTAAGTGCAAGTTTTAAAAGATTTAGGGAATAGTCGCCTAAAAAAGTAAGTGTAAGTAAGCCTAAAATCTCAAAAGTTTTAGGGAACAGTCGCCTAAAAAAGTGAGAGTATATAAATGCAAAGTAGGAGAAACTATAGGGTACTTAGTTCAAGTAAGCCTAAAATCATACTGCTAAGTAATAATTTCAAACGTGTTGTTGTGCCATAGAAATAATCAAGTGTAAGTCACATTCAGCTGGCCGACATGTTGTTGGGTCCTTTTGTTTTGATGATGATTTACGAACAATTTATACCTAATGTTGTTTGTCTAGTGTTTGTGTTTTATATTTATTCTAGGCAAACAATATGTTGGAGGATGGATGGAATTGCGTCTCAACGATCAAATCCAATGGAGGTTGGCAGAATTGTGGAGTGAAGCCTATGCAATTCAAATTGAAGATCCAAGTTCTAGCTTCATCCGCG